GGATCTTGGGCAGGGGCGCACATGCGCCCGGCGTGAGTTTAAGCCACCGGGTCCGGGATTCGAACCGCGGTTGACTACGTGGGAATCCAGAGACATAGCCATTACGCTAACTGCTGGTCCCCCATGTGTATTTTTGGAGTGAGCAACAGACAGATACCTGAATGCAGGGAGAAGAGACTCTGGAATATGGGAGGGATGGAAGGGCAGCACTGCTCAATCTGGACAGGGCAGGGAGGATAGGCTCACATCTGTATCCCTCACACCCTCAGCTGCCTGAGCCTGAGCCTTAGTATATCAGAAACTCATTCAGGGCCAGGTATTCAGAGCAGCCATCAAATCATGAGGTTCACATAGCAGTCAGTCAAGACTTCAGGACATTAAATACATGTTTTTCTTTAACAAAACAAGACAGGATTGTTTTGCTTTTATTTTTATCAAATTGCAGGTTGAACCAAAAGTAGAAAAAGTAAGTGAATCATTTGCATATAATGGCCAAGATTAAACAACTGGTCATCCCTTGGTGGACCAATTCATAGATCTAGTTTTTGGTTTTAAAACAAGGTAGTATTTTTTTGAAAGTTGCTATTTTATTTTAACCATTAGAAACATTTTCCTTGTGTTACAAATAAATATAGTGAAATTAATGAGGCTTTTTGGGTTTTTATTTCCCATTTAAGTTCTCCACTCAAATGAAAATGGCATCACTTTGTTTTCTCAATATAAAACTAATGTAGTGTTATTTTTTTAAAAACAGAGAGACCAGCAGATGGCATAATGGTTATGTCACTGGATTCCCACATAGTCAACTGTGGTTTAAGTCCTGGACCCGGTGGCTTAAAACTCACGCTGGGCACACATGTGTGTGCCCCAAATCCCAAGAGGAGAAGGGATTGCGGTGTGGCCATCCCACCTGGGATGGGGCGGGGGGAGAGGGGGCATGTGTGTGACTTCTTGCTTTCTGTCTCTGTCTCTCTAGCAAGAGCATATGCCTTATACCAAAAATCTGTCTCAAAAAAAAAAAAAAAAAAAAAGAACAGAAACAAGCAAACAATGCATTTAATTGACACAAAAATGCAAAGTTATTTGCTGGTGATAATATATATGATAATGTCTTTGTCTTGACCGATATGTACTGTAATTGTGCTGGGGAAAACGATGTTGTACACTGTAAAGATGTATAATGATTAAATGTAAATAAATATATATTTTTTAAAAAGCCCCCCCCCCAAATAAAAAAAAGAACAGAAAAGTTTAAGAAAGTAAGAAGCTCCTACTTCCTAAATCCTTTTCTGCAATTTTTGTCCTCCCTTTGGTATTAGGCTGCAGGGGACATGTTGGACCTTCATGGCTTGGGGGGACGGAGGAGGTGAAGGTAAAAGCAGTTGGACTGGGAGTAGGGAAAAGAAAACATAATTGCTCCGAGAGAAGACCGATGGACAAGGTGGTAGATACATCCTCTCCCTGTTAACCAAAGAAAGGCAAATTCCAACCACAGGGGCAAGCTACTTCTGGTCTGGGAATGCTATAGAGGAAAATGAGTGGCAGGCCCTGAGGTGGGAGGAAGGGAATGGGGGAGGGCCGGCTGCTGCCGCACTGCTGGTGGGAGTGGTAATAGGGGTCCTGATCTCACGGGTGACGTGGCCCTCACGTGAGCGGGAGCCGACGTGTGCAGACGTTGTTCTAATCCCGGTCTTCGTTTGGTCCGGTTGCCCTCTCCCTATTGCCCAGAGGGCGGGAGTGTCTGTGGCCAGGGGAAGGCGGAGGAGGTAACTGTCCGGATTCCAGCAGGTCTGTGTGTGACCCGGCGCTGCCTGGGGATCCCTGCGGTGCTGCGGTGCAGGCAGCGGAGGGTGGAGACTGAGGAGGGAGATGGCCTGCTTTCTCCACACCCTTGCACTATCTCTGGCCCTTCCTAGAATGAAAACGATGGGCTTTGGGGGCCGCATTCCAGGGGAGAACCCCCTGACTAGGAGAGGGGTGGGGCGGAACTCTCCGGATCCAGGGCCTTGAATCAGGAACGACAGGTATTAGGATTCCTGTCCCGTGTGCTGGTCCTTTTATCAGACCGCAATCCTGGCTGTGCCTCTCTCTGTCTGAATGTCATTCTCCTTGCTTTTCCTTAGCGCGTTGTACCTTTTGGAGCAAAGGAGAAATCTGTCCGGAATCCCCGCAGGTCAGTGTAAAGCTGGGATTGCCCCGCGGCTCGGGAAAAGCAGGGATGGTTGAGTTCCTGGACTAACTTAGGCGCATTACTGGTTCTCCAGCAATCACCCTGGAGGAAAACGGATGTGACAGTGCCTACAAGAAAAATGGTTGTCACTGGGGGTGGGATGTGTTGGGGAACGGAACAGAGGAAATCTTTTCGGCTTCTTTTTCTTCTCAGGTCTTTCTTTCTCCCCCCCCCACCTCCCTTCACTCCCCCCACCCA